AGAGAGAGAGAGAGAGAGAGAGAGAGAGAGAGAGAGAGAGAGAGAGAGAGAGAGAGAGAGAGAGAGAGAGAGAGAGAGAGAGAGAGAGAGGGGAGGGGGAAGGGTATTGAAATGTACTTTTTATTGGCTTTTCTTGAGAGTTGGTGGTTGGCGGGGGCTCTGGTGTGGTTTGCTTCTTCTTTCCTATGAAACATCTATCGTCCTTATCTCCCCTTCTTTTTTATGTTTGTTACTCTCTTGTAACACCTCTAATCTTCTGGCGCTCATATGACCTTATGCAGTTGCGAGCGGCGAAAAACCTCTACTGAAACAAACAAACATGTTTGTCGCACTGACGTCATGAGTGAAAGACATAACATGTAACTTTGTTGTCTGGAGAGTTCCTATAATATCTCTACACCTTTCTATAATATGTATCTGCACACCTGTATTTTTGTAGGATCAATATTCTTTCTCTTGGTGAGTAACTGTCCCTTTTTTCTTCAAGGTGAACGCACGAACCTAGATTTACTATAAACAGAGATGTTTTACGTCCCATCGACTCAATTTAGATCATTCAGGGGGTGGGCTGTTTCGACCCTAATAAGAGAGGTACTACCCGGGGATACAATGCCTCAGCAGACAAAGGGAGATCGATTTTTAGAAATTGCATGATATCATTTTTTATCTGTTTTTTTCTGGGTTCCCACCAGCTCGAAAGTGACCTAGAGCTAGATCTCAACAATAACAGTTAAGACAATAATGGTAACTGACAACAAATTGCAACAACAAACAACAGAAATGACTACTACGACGACAACTACTACAACAGCAACAGCATCATCAACAACAACAATAATAACATCAACAACAACAACAACAACAACAACAACAACAACAACAACAACAACAACAACAATGACAACAACAACAACAACAAAACCAATAGCAACGGCAACTACAATCTTTTACTACAACTGTATGATTCCTTTTTTTTCATTTTCAGTTTCTCAACTGTGAACCCAAACACTCAGCTTTGGACATCTTCCTGGCCACCTTACCCAATTGCACTCTAGGCCCTTCCCCCACCTCCCCCCTAGCCCCCCTCTATCCCCCCTCTATCCCCTTCCCCTCTTGCCCCACCCATTTGGGTGATGCTCGGGATAGTATTGTCGTTCTGGACCTTCCTATTCATCGTGATCACAGCGGTACAACACGCCTTGGGCTGGAGACCCGTCTCCTCCTCTTCTGACCCCGCCCCTAACTCTTCAAGCCCAGCCCACAAATCTCGACCCTGTAGCTGCAACTGCCAAGGAAAAACACACCAACCACCATTGCCTTCAGGTACCGGTTCTTCATCACGGGAAGGCAAGTCTCGATACACACGTTCTGTTGGCTTTGACCCGGAAACTTCAGTGAGAAAAAGTCACCGCCCATCACGCCGACCGTTTAGGGGCCACAACCCTTCCCTCAGTTCTTCTTCTGTAGGCAAAAGCTGCTCCGACGACCAACTGTCAGCACGCTCAGGCTGCGGGTCTTCTACGGGAGCCGGCCACTCACGCCACCAAAGTCCTCCCAACCGTGACCCGACGTCGTCCGTTAGTGTGAGCTACCCCTCGTGTCACGAGACGGGTGGGTGTCTGTCCCACAGTGGGAATTCTAATAGGAAGAGTGTGAGCTTCAGAAACAGTCTGGGAGAGGAGCCTAGAGGAAGGAGTTTTTGGAACAGACGGCGCTGAAATCTGTCGTACACCTCCAGCGCTGCAAAAGGAAATAGAAATAATCGAGAAGACCTCGACAAAAATATGTACATCTTCATAGTCACACTCTAAATCCTGCATCCCTGTCTTTCTCCTTTTGGAAATACATAGGCAAGATCTGGCGTTGTCTGCCCCATCTGGGAATCTTGCGTGAGGCGAGGAGATAGCGGTGAGAAGAGAAACCATCAACAACCATGATACTAAGTGGATTTAAATGAAGGTAAAGAAAGACTGCGACATGTTCCAGTGTCTTATCTTATTAAGAGCGAAGCATTCACTTGTGTCCAATCAACAGCAGACCAAAGGTTATGTTGCTGCGCATTTTGAACCATCTCACGTAAATCAGCACACATGAATTTGCAAATTTCACAGAATGTATGTTGTTGCTTACCTGCCTTTGTAAGTTTCAGGGAAAAGAATACAGAATTGAAACAAATCTGTATGAATAATGAAGGTATGCTCCTCTTTGAAAGTCCACATTAATAGCGGGTCTTCACACGTTGTCGAAGTACCAGAATGGGCGTCTTTGGGTGCGTTAAAGGATTTGCTTGAGCATATTAACATCGACATTGTGCTGTAAGGTTAAGCGCTTCGTCTTTGCCACCAGAAGACATGAGTTCGATTTCCGTGAGAGGGTAGGATTTTGAAATCAATTAGCTCCATCCCTCTGCAGGGACATTGTACCTCTCTCAGTCCGGATTAGTCCAGACTGGCAGGCTCGAAGAAGCCCGCCTCTAATACGATTTATATAGTGTTAGTGAGGGTGTAAGGCACTCACAATTTGATCACAATATCAACATCTAACTACAATAACCGTATCATATTTTTCCGTATTCTCGCCCACCCGTGCATCGTCAGCGACAGGTGAGCTGGTGTAATAGCTTAGCACCTCATCTCTGTGCCAAGTCCGAGGATTTATGGAAGGTCCAAATTGTAGTTCATTTTGCGTCAACTTCTTTCAACAATAAACCGATCGCCAGGGGAAAAGGCCTGCTAACCCTAGCAGATAAACTTTATAGTAGAAAGAAAGGGTTAAGTGGTGAATTGGTATAGGTTTAACGCCCCTATCAACACAGTCAGGTTGTTTAAGAGGCAGGACCTCCGAGTTTAACGTCCATCTCCGAAAGGACCGAACCAAGCAGGAAATTCGTGTAAGGTGCCTTTCCCAAGGACACAACGTCGGACCGAGCTGAGGCTCGAACACCCTAACGCGCAATCTTACAAAGAGAGAGAGAGAGAGAGAGAG